GGAGAAGGGATGGGAAAGTAAAACAAACTAAGATGTGTTTTGTGGGGTTTTTTTTGGTGCCAGGGATTGAACTTGGGACCTTGTGCTTGCGAGGCAGGCAGCGGAACCACTGAGCTAAACCCCCAGCCCCTGTTTTTTTGGGTTTTTTTATTGATACATTTTAGATATACTGATAGCATTCATCATAGGAAATTTGTACCTGTACATGATATATCTTGCTTCTTTTTTTCCTATTCCCTTACCCTACCTTCAGTCCCTATACCCCTTGTTTGTAAAAGGTTTATTTCCATTTTTTTCTTGTCCCTTCTTTCCTTTCCCCCTCCCCCTCCATTGTTCCCCTTCTCATTGATGTTCATTAGCCATCGGAGTTTATCATGTTCAAAAAACACTGGGAACTGGATATAATATTAATCTACTAATAAAATTGAGTAGGTTTTATTCTCATAATTTAGATAATTATATACGAGATTCATTGAGCCCATTTAAGTGTCAGGTCAAGCATATGTGCAGTGTCTCACTTGAACTTCTAAAGAACAATGTGAAGTAACTATTATTATTTTACTCATTGATGGGAAAATTGAGATCTGGAAAGTTATGCGACTTCCCCGAGGTCATTCACAAAGTAAATTAGAAAGTGAGGATTTAGACCCAGGTCTGTTGGACTCCACAGCTTCTGCCCTCACCACCTGGCTTCTAGTTTCACTAAGAAATTGTGCTCTCTTAATAGCTTGTATCTTAGTTTTACACTTTTCATTTAAAACATTGGAGGGCAGGGGATTTAGCTCAGTGGCACTGCATCTGCCTTGTAAGCACAAGGTCCTGAGTTCGATCCCCAGTACGATTTTATTATGTACTTTGATGGCACTGATTTTAATATTAGGATATGAGATGGTAACTGGAGGTAAAACAGAAGAAATGGTCCATTAGAGAGAGAATAGGCTGATTTTGTAGTCTGCATGGTTTGAAGACTAAAAAAATAAAGGCTGTACCGAGTCTTTCACCCAAGTTTTATATAGATAGGTAGGTAAGTAGGTAGTTGGATGGATGGATAGATGGATGGATGGATAGATGGATGGATGGATAAATACATAAGATGAATAATGGGAATCTGCCAACATACAACCACTTTTGACTGTTTGGGTCTGGGTTAAAGGTTTGCTCATTAGCCATGTGTTTAGACATTGTCCTTGGTGCTAGAATACAAAGGATGTTAGACCTGCCTTCAAGTTGCTCCACCTCTTGTAGCACAAGAACTGGTTCTGGTATAGCCACGTAAGATACAAGTGCTGTACTGTCACATGGTCCAGTGGTCCAGGTGGCTGGCAAGAACAAGGGATTAACACAATGAGGGTAGTCAGTGTCTGGGAGAAGGGTTCAGGTGATGCTTCACATGGCGTGACATTTGAACTGGAACTTAACACAGGATATTTCACCCACGAGATGATGAGGGAGGAGGAAACAGTGTGAGTAAAGGTGTGAATATGTGAAGTGTAGAGCTGATTCAGGAAATAGTGAATATGTACGTGGCTAGGCTGCAAGGTGAATAAGGCCAAGAAGGACAGATTGGGGGTGATGATGAAAGGCCTTCTTTGTCTTGCTAAGGAAATTGGACTCTACTTTGGGCAGTGCAGAAATGTCAGTTTGTGTTGACTTGTTCTTTGGGGTTTTTTTTGTTGTTGTTGTTTTTTTTGGTACCGGGGATTGAACTCGGGTCCTTGTGCTTGCGCAGCAGGCAGCGACTTGTTCTTTGGAAAATACTTAGACATATGTAAAAGTAGACAGTGTGATGAACCCCACGTCCTAACACCCCACTTCAGTCATTCCTCATGGCCAGCCTTATCTATAACCCTTCACTGTCTGTCATCATATTTTTTGAATACTGGGGATTGAACCAAGGGCCTCACATGCTGACATGCTGGGCAGGTGCTCAACCACTGAGCTATATCCCCTGCCTTCATCGTCATATTCTAGAACAAATCTACACTATATCATTTTATCCATCATTTTCTGTGCTATATCATTTTCACTGTGTATCATTACAAAGTATAACATTTTCAGTTGATATTTAAATTTCCAGTAGCTTCCTAACTGTTGAACTATTGAAATATAACAGTTCACATACTGAAATTAACATTTCCCTGAAGTCTTTTAATCTATAAGTTCTTTATTCAATTCTCTTCTCTCCTTTTTTCCCCTTGTAATTTATTTGTTGAAGAGAGCAACTTGTCTTGTAGAAGTTGCCACAGCTTGGGTTTTGCTGTGTGCACCTCCATAACAGTACTTACCATGTTTCTTTTTTCTCTGTATTTCCTATATTTAACCTAGAAGTTTGATCAGTTCAGCAGCTGCTTCCTCCTCTTCTTCCCCTTCCTCCTCTTCCTCCTTCTTTTCCTCCTCCTCTTCCTCTTTCTCCACCATCACCACTGCCACCTCTGCCATCTCCTTTTCCATGTGAAAGACTACTTATGGATGATTTATGGAATGCCTTGTTTACCCATGAATTTATTAAGGATCACAGAAGGATGCTACTATAATTCTGTTATTTCTCCATTACTAACTTTATAGAAATCAAACTCATTCATCTATTACTTTGCCATTTAGTGAAATAAGATAAATGCTTGATTTTTTTCTCTTTATTCACCAATTTTCAAAATAACAAGTTGTTTCACTAGTATCTTCTAGTGGTAACTAACTGGGATTTTTTTTTTTTTTTTTTTAGTTTTATTTGCTCTCAGGGATTTAAATATTTTTCATATGTTCCAACCTACTACACTTACTATCTTTTTTTTGGGGGGGGGTTACCAGGGATTGAACTCGGGACCTTGCGCTTGCAAAGCAGGTGACAGAACCACTGAGCTAAATCCCCGGCCCTTACAGTTACTATCTTAAATAATGCTTGGTAATCCAAACATCCATTATCTGATCTTTGCTCTGTGGAGCAGCCACAAGGTGGCTCTTTGCTTTCTCGCTTTCTCATATAATAAAATGTTCCTTGCTCTTCTCTCAGTTTTTGCTCATGAGCTACAATTAGCTCTTTCTCCCACAAGTTTGGTTTTTTTCAAAGGAAATAGCGATTCAGATCATAATATGGTTCCAGGGTGCTATTTGGTCCTAAATTGGTTGTTGTTTCTAGACATCATTGTTTCTTGAATCTCTTCTCTGCCTACATAGGTATCTTCTTGCTCCCACTAAGAATCCTAGTTGTCAATGCCACTAAAAAAAAGAATTAAAATTCACACCGGCTTTATCTCAATAATTATTTATTTATTTTAGTTTTTTGAGACAGGGTCTCACTGTTGGTTCAAGCTGGCCTTGAACTCACCATCGAGCTTGCAGCAGTCCTCCTACCTCAGCCTCCTGAGTGCTGGGATTACAGGCATGTGCCACCCCCCCCAGCAGTAGAGGGTTTTAAACTGGGGAATGACAGTAGTTAGTAGCTCAGTACAAGGAATGATGGACAAGTACAGTGACTGTTTAAATTTTTTTAAATGATTACAGTAAAACACACATTGCCATTACTCTCCTTCCAAATCCTCCCCCTCACGTTAAACACAGTTACCCTATTGCTCTTGTCACTTTATGAAGCAACTGTGGAAATCCTTTTTTGTGAGTATCTTTACAAGGTATGATAAAACTGCAGTGAATGCTGCTGCTGAGTACTGTCCAAGGGAAAAGTAGGCTCATAAAATCACTATGGTGCGTCTTCATGCACCTAACTCACCGATTGGGCACCAATGGGACTTCTGGCTCTTTCCCAAAGTCAAAATGACCATGAAAGGTAAATGTTTGGAATTGACTGGACATTGAGGCAGCTATGACAGTACAACTAAAGACATTCATGAAAAAGGACTTACAGAACTGCTTCAGAAAGTGGCAAAAAGATGGAATAAGTGTTTGCAGTGAGAGCTATTAATGGCACTGTTTTTCACTGTAATAAGTATTTTTTAATTGAAACATTCAGGTATTTTTCAGTCGCCCCTCGTGTTATAGAAGGGTGATTCCTTTGGTGCTCAGGTAGAGGATAGGCTGTACTGGGTAGGCTAGTGGGTGGGTGAGAAGTCAGTTGGAAGCTGTTGCTGTGGTTCTGAAAGAGACCACTTCCTGAACTCGGATGGTGGTAGTTGAGCGGAGATAAGTAAAGCACTTGAGAAACATTTCACGGGATGCATCTGTACTTGGTGACTGGCTCTGGTAGGATAAAGATGATCAGGATGATGGAAATAAACTCTAGGACACCATTCCAGAGTTATTTTATTTAGTGGTAAAGAGGGCAGCAGATGCTGGGGAAGACGGGTAAGGGAGAATGAGCATTTGGAGTGGAGCAAATCGAGGAATAGTAAATTTAAGGTTTTCATTGTCAAATGTCAGCCCATTAATTTGGCATTAACAGAAATCCTCTGTAGTCTCAATGAGTTTTCTGATGTTTTCCAGTTTCTAGGCAATTCCCTTGTTCAGTCAGACCTCTTCTGTTACACCTCAACTCTGTACGTCTGTGTAGGTGCTACTGTACCTGCGTTTGCCACTGGTGGGAATGTGTGCCTCATCCCCTGATCTGGTTCAAGATTTACCCAAAGGAAGCATCCCTGAAATCCTCTCCTGTCTGTTTCCTTTGTTTTAAGCACACGTGGTTTTATGCTATCCTCTAATTGTTTGTGTCCTTGTCTAGCTAACTCAGCAGAGTTGGGCGACTCCACAGGTCAGACTAGGGATCCAGTATGTCTTTACATTTTTTTTTTAGGACTTACAGTATAGAGTCAGCATTTATTGGTCAGCCAGGGTAGAGAATCTTGGCTCAGTAGCTGCTTAGCATTTGACTCACCTGAGTTATTAACTGTTCACTCTTCTCAACCTCCAGAAAACTCCCTTTGTGATGTTTTATGTAGAGGTAGCCTCTGTTAATGAAACTTCTGGGCTGTTTCTGCTTGTGATCCCGGAGCTGATACGGTTCAGAAGATATGTAAAATCTGCAAAAAGGCTCTAAGTTTCTCTCGTTTTTACAGGCTTCTTTCATCTCACAGTGTTTTACCCCAATCACACATCCACATGAGTGCTCCTCTTGACATTTCTCGGAAATGGGAGAAGAAGAATAAAATTGTTTACCCTCCACAACTGCCTGGTGAGCCTCGCAGACCAGCAGTAAGTTTATGGATAGAACTAATGTCTTAGTTTTGATAAAGTGCTCTTATTAGGTGACTAGCAATGATGTATTTTTCCATATTAAGAAAAAAGATTACACCTTAATTTACACCATCTTTTAATTGACAGAAAATGTATCATTTATCTCTGTAGTTTAGAACAAGTGTCATTGCTGTACCTGTTTGACTTGACATAGCTTCTTAGATAGAGCTCCTTTAACTCAAACCAAGCTAGCAGTTTGAGATGTGCTGCCTTTTGTACCAGGCTTGCTGATGAGCTCTTGGTAATGGAGCACGACACACTGGCAAGGAGACCTAAGCTAGTGACCAGAGTGTAAGTCTACCCAACTTTCCAGTGTTGCCTATTTGAATACGAGCACACGTGTTTTTCTTTTTGTGGTACACACAGCTTTTAATGTAAGGTTTGAAAATCACTGGATTTCTACCACGCTTGTCTTATCTTTAGATATTTAAAGTAATTTTACCCTCTCCAAACTGCTGGTGAATGTTCTAGTCTGAGATAAAATTAACCTTCAGGTTAATGTGAATTTACTGTGGCATAGATAGACATGTTTAAGCAAGTAATAACACAAACGAGATAGGAACATTTAAATCCTTAAGAAAATAAAGTTTGGGAAGTTCTTTAGCAATAGAATGACTGTGATAATTTTAAAAGTTTTCTTAGTACAGTACATGTTTGCAGTGCATAATGATTATATTCATTGTGAGGACTTGGAACATGTGTATAACACATCTTTTTTCATATTAATTTAAAATTATTCAGTTCAACAAACATCTTTTATAGGCCTTTCGTATTCAAAACTAGTGGGTAGTGTCTCATCAATAATAACAAGGACCATGTCATTTCCTTAGTTTTTCTGTGAACTTGAAAGCATACATTTCATTAAGATTCAGTTGCTAAGTATTGATCTGAATGAGTACAGTTTTATTAACTCTTTTTTCCTCTGATTTGGGGGAGTTACTTGAGCTTTTCAAAAAGCTCCCACTTGATTAAGATTTAAGAGAAGAAAGGCCGTGCATGAAGTGCATTTTTGTAATCTCAGGTACTTGGGAGGCTGAGGTAAAAGTGTCACAAGTTTAAGGCCAGCCTGGGCAACTGAGTGAGGCTCTTGTCTTGAAATAAAATTAAAGAGGACTAGGAATACTGGGAATGGAGCTCAGCGGTAGAGTGCTTACCTGGCACAGGCGAGGCGCTGGGTATAATCCCCAGCACCAGAAAAAGAGAAAGAGTAGAAAAAGTGATGCAAATAGTTTAAACAAATAACTTTTAAAGCTTTTGTATTTTATCACAGTTCAGTACTTGAAAGTTAGACATGTCACAGAATGTGGGCTATTAAATATTGACTCCATTTTGTAATTAACCAAAATTTAGAAGGTTATATATTTGCACAAATATCATAACTAAAATGTTATTGTGTGTAACTACTGTGCTTTCTTGTTACCAGAGCTCTTTGAACTTAGATTTTAATTGGAATTGCATCATGACAGTGTATTTCAGGTCTAGAATCTAATAGCAGAATATTGTACTGTGTACTGCCAATCTTTTTGTTTTTGTGAGGAAAAGAAGATTTTATTGTGAGAGGAAAAAGAATTACATGCTACAAAAAGACAATTTATTAATCTCTTAAGAAGAACATTTTGGTATCACTTTTGTCTAGGATTGGTGAAAGTGGTACAGGTGAATGAATCAGGGCAGACTCAGGAGGAGCAGGCATTCTGTGTTTCCATTTTATAACAGGCACCAGTTACTGGGTATGAAATGAACCCCCAGAAATGGAGAGTTTTGTGGGGTTTTTTTGGTACCAGGGATCGAACTTGGGTCCTTGTGCTTGTGAGGCAGGCAGCAGAACCACTGAGCTAAATCCCTGGCCCATCCCAGAGCTTTTATTTACACGTGTAACAGCCAGGAGAGGATACAGTAGTAAAGGCCTCACTCAATATCAGAACAAAGGGGAGAAAGTAGGTACCAGGAAATGAGAAATATGCAAGAGGACAAGTACAGAGCTTCGTATTTCATCAGAAAAAGTCAAACACATGGATATTTATAGTCTTGGATATACATTCTAATTTTACAAATTTAATTCAACCTCAAGATGTTGGGATTAAACAAACTGAATAGCTGATGCCGAAGTACATACAAAAGAAGAAGCAAGGCCAGCCAGGAAAACTGTTTGGTACTGACGTGTAACTAGATAGAGCATTAGAACAGAAAGAGGTAAAAAAGAGACCCAGATATGGGAATTCAGTAGAGGATAAAGACGATGTTTCAACTCGGTGGGGAGAATGTGTTTTATTCATGAAAATGTGGTAGAACACCTAGATAGCTATAAAAAACAAAGTTAGATTAATATTTAATATTATAATAAAACAAATTTCAACTGTAAATGTAAGAACTGGTATGTTCAAAGTACTTGAAGTCAAGGGAGAATTTTAAAAGATTTTAGTGTGATAAAGGCTTTTCGGATTTTGATATCCACAGTAAGAAAGATAAAATTTCACTACAAATTTATAACTGATGTATCACTATAAAAATTATTCATGGCAAGAAAACTTCATTCTTTGTGGTGCTGGGGATTGAACTCAGTGTCTTGCACCTGCTAAGCATGAAGTGTACCACTCATTTGCACCCCCAGCCCTATAAAAATATTTTTTAAAAAAGAATTCATGGCAAAAAAAAATTGCACCCATACATAGTCTAAAGAAGAATGGAAAAATTAGAAAAGAAACATGCAAATCATATTATGCATTAATATATAAGTAACACCCAGAGTTCAATTAAAATAAATCCAGTAACTAAAAAGGATTTTTGAGGAAAAGAATACAATGATAGAAAATGAAAATTTTTGGATTTTTAAAGCTAAAGTACTTCAAGATATATCCTAAATAGCAAAATTCAGAGTTGACGGTATGTCATCTACTTAACTTTAGCAAATGATGAACAGTGTAAGTCTAGTAATTAGTTGTGTTGAATTTACAATTTTTTTGTTAACTTTCTTGCATCTTGCACATTCATTCTCATTCTCTTTCTCTCTGTCCTTGCCTCCCTTCCCTTCTCTCTTTCCCTCCCCCTCTTTCTATGTAAGTGCCAGCGTGAACACCTTTGGTTTGATTTTGTATGGGCACTTTGGAAAAACCTAATTTTATTTTCTATTTTGCATAGGCTTTGTTTGAGTAATCCTTTGCAGGACAAAATATGACCTTTGGAAAATACCTTAGCATTTTTTAATTTAAGTAGAATTTAGTAAATGAACATTAGGGCATCTGTTATACTTGTCCATCAGTTATACTTGTTAGGACTGAAAATACTAATACCCTTCATTAATCCCTAGTGTGTTTACAGGGAATGATTTCCTCACCTAGCCATATGTTGCATACTACTGCGTCATGACGTACAATGTCCCTTAGACTTGTCAATCTGCTACCATTTTAAAAATTAGTTTTATTCCTTGTTTAAAGGAAGGGTAGATAATATCCACCATTTTATCTCAGTCTGACCTTGCAGTGTGTTCTTTCATTAGTAATCATGGATGAGGTGGTGAGTAAGCCTGAGAGCAGGAAATTAAATGAGTGTCTCCGGTGTAGACATGGGTTAGGTCTCCCGTAATATATATATATATATATATTTTTTTTTTTTGGTACCGGGGATTGAACTCGCGTCCTTGCGCTTGCGCAGCAGGCGGCGAAACCACTGAGCTAAACCCCCGGCCCTCCCCTAATATTTTTTAAGTACTTTCCTGATTTAGCTGGTATAAATTTCCAAACAATATTCTTATGTAATCTTTATCTTATATGTTGCTTCTTCCTGATAAAGTAAATAGGAAGGAAATTAAAGAGCTTTTTATGTGATAATCATACCGTATTAATTTGGGCTTAAGTGTTTTGCAGAATCTTTAAAAAAGTCTGTTAAATAAACTAAAAATATAGTAAGATATCAAAACCGAACAACCATTTTTATAAGAGGCATACTTTTAATATATGGATTAATCAATGTATTATTAATAATGGGCATCACTGTGGATCCCATAATATAGCTTTCTAGTACACTTTTTTTTTTTTTTGTGGTAGCAGGGCTCGAACTCGGGACCTTGCGCTTTCAAGGTAGGCGATGGAACCACTGAGCTAAATCCCCGGCCCTCTAGTAGACTTTTTATTAGGTGATACTTTTTCCTCATTTATATTATTTTATGCATTTAGAAATAAATTGACTTCTCTAATAGTTACTAGTTTAGATGTTTTGCAGTTTAGACTTCTTTGACTTCATCTGAATAACTATTTAGGGTTTTATATCTTCACATAACTTTACCATGTTACTTAACAGCAGTAATATATAACTAGGCCTTCTGGCCTCTAACTTTACCACTTTGTATGCTATGATAGATTTACTTATTGAGATGTGGTCTAGTCTAATTTTAGGAAGTATTCTTTTTAAAAATTTTTTTGGTATTGGGGATTGAACTCGAGTCCTTGTGCTTTCGAGGCAGGCAGCAGAACCACTGAGCTAAATTCCCAGCCCTTTAGAAAGTATTCTATTTTTTTTTTTTTTGTACTGGGGATTGAACTCGCGTCCTTGTGCTTGTGCAACAGGCAGCGAAACTACTGAGCTAAATCCCCAGCCCTAGAAAGTATTCTTAAGGGCTAGGTGTGTGGCTCAGTGCTAGAGTGCTTGTCTAATGTGTGAGACCACTGGGTTCATCTCCAGCAGTACACACACACACACACACACACACACAATAACACAAGCTGAGGAGGATTTGTGCATTTTACTGCACAAAGTAAATGGAGAACTTTTTAGTGTAGAAGAAGATTGTCAGTTAACTTTCCCTTTTTTTGTAAATACCTTATTCCTTTTTTCCTATACTTTTGCCATGATTAAGTAATATATGTACACACACACAAAATTTGAGGATAACAATATACAATTAAGGTTTAAAGATATCATCATGGGAACCCATGAATTGAAACGTTTCTAGTGTAGAGATCTTATTGAGTGGATTACTTTTTGCAGATTAATATTATAGGTCATGACAGTTCTGCTTTTCTTTCTCTTGCTCTTTAGGATACATTATTGCTGAAAATGTAATTAGGCTATTGCTGTAGTTTTCATCCTGTCAGCTTCTATTGCAACTGAATGAACTCTGCGACATTAAAAAAATGGCCACTTGAGAAAACTCTGTCGTTTCTAAGGCACTTGAAAATTTTCAGCAGGAGTCAGAATGTTGGAGTTTTGAGATCTCTTTTCTGTTGTTTGCCTTCAATTTTTAAAAGTATTAGTAGAGATAATAATGGAAAAACAAGTGGATTTTAGAGTCAGAAGGGAACTTTTGAACATGTGCGTGCCAGACCATGGAGTTCCTTCTCTGTTCCTTGGCTTCCAGCTTTGTCTTTCACTAGATTTGTGGTCTTGAACAAATCAATTGTGTTTTCAGAATTTCAGTTTATAAAAGGAGCATAGAAGATTTCCTCTTCCCACTTATAGTTAGAGTAAATGAAATAATGAGTGTAAAAATGGCGGGAGGGGAGGGAAAGGGGATGAAAGAAATTGAGATGTGTTATGTGCATGTGCCAAGTCCCCAGGGAATGTAAACGTTGTGTACTGCAAACGAGTACCCAAGAAAACAAGGAAGGGCATCAAGAGGTGGGGTGGGGGTGGAGGGAAGGGAAGGGGACAAATAAAAGGAATTAGGATGTATTATGTACAAGTGCCAGCTACCCAGAAATGGAAACATTATGTACTACAAATATGTACTAATAAAAAAATGAGAAGAATTCTTTGTGAGCTATAAATTGTTTATTAGATGATTAAAAATGAAACCAGGGACCAGGGATTTAGCTCAGTGGTTCAGGCGCCTGCCTCACAAGCGCAAGTTCCTGAGTTCGATCCCCACTACCAAAAAAAGAGAAACAGGATATACATACTACTTTAAGTAGAAGATATAAAATGTTAATCAGCTAAATGTTTTCCAGATACTTTCATCTATTTCTTAATATTCTTCTGGACAGAAATGTTGCAAATATTGGCCTGAACTGGCCGTTTTATACTTTTTACTTCTTCCTTAGTAGTCTTTTAGCATAGTGGAACTTTGAAGAGTAACTGTGTAGGGACACTGTGTAGATTTTTAGTAATTTTAAAATTTCTTGTGGCATTATACTTATTGGGCACAAGAAGTGGGAACTCTTAACAGCATATGTATGTCATGTAATTTTGATAAACCTGCTGAAACTTTTTTTCCTCTCTTTGTAAGGAAATCTACCATTGTCGAAGACAAATAAAATACAGCAAAGACAAGATGTGGTATTTGGCAAAATTGGTAAGCTGACTATTATTATGTAATACTTTAGAAAAGAAGCTATGAATTTCCCCCTAGAATTTGAACAATAACAAAACAGTTTTGTTCTGATTTTCCCAAAAAGTGAGGAGTATATAGTTACATGTAATCAAAAGAATGATTGTTCAGAGATGGGTGATTTTGCTTAATTTTTGGCCCATTTTCTGAGAAACTAAATCATATTGGTAATAGATATTTAAAGCAGAGTTACTTTGGCTATAACTAGAGACTCTAAGAAGCTTACTTGTATGTAAAAGCTGATTCAGCCTATTTAAATACTGTTGATTTTTAAGTTTTTTCCTTGGAAAATGAAATTTGTAGATGAGGAGAGACAAAAGCAGCATGTGTAGATGTAACACATTTATCCTGTAGGAGGACAAGATAACTTTATTGCAAGTGAGGTCGTTGCCAAGTTGTCATTCCTCTGTCATGTTTGCCCTCTTTAAATGTTGTCCCTTCTCAAACATTTCATCTCTTCTGCCTGGGTTTAATCCACTGTTTCTAAAAGTTATTTAGATTATATAAGGCTTTTACTTTTCATTGCAAAGTGAACATTGATTTTGTAAACTGATTTGTTTATTCTCTCATCTGTTACCCTTTAATTCTAGATACGAGGAATGTCCATTGACCAAGCTTTGGCTCAGTTGGAATTCAGTGATAAGAAAGGAGCTCAGATAATTAAAGAGGTAAGCTGGCAAGATTGGGCATCAGAGGAGGCAGGGACTGTAATTGTCTTGCAGGTGCAAGTAAGTTCAGCCTAAACCCCGAATTCCGTAAATAATCCTGAAGAATGTTGTGTGCTTTAAGTGCTTTTTTCCTGAGATCTTCATTTTTTACAAAAGACATTTATTTATTTTTCACTAATGAAATGATAAACTTTATTTTTAATGATTTGGGGCTTGG